CCCAGAGTTCAGGCCCCATGACCGGACCCCCCCCAAAAAAAATAATAATGAGAACTATTTATTCTCTTTAGGAACCTCAGAGGATCGGCAGCCACAAGCTGGGGTTTAGGGTCCCTCTTGTGGATAGGGGCTGGTGCTGCAGCCTCTTGGCTCCCTGTGGGGCTGAGGTCTACTTCCAGGGAGACCCCTCCCTCCCATGACTGGCCAGCTGGTGCAGGGTTCGGTTCCCCATCTGGGGCTCCTTACAGCCACACCCACTTTCTCCATGTTTGTGGCTCAGACAACAAAGCAGATACTAGAACCTATTTCATGTCATGACAACCACACAAGAGCCTGTTGGGTCCACAAATGCATCCATTTATTGTTAGTGAGGACTGCAGCAGGGCACTATGGTCAGTAACTCTGGCCTGTTTTGTGTCCCTAAGCTGGGCTTTGAGCTCTTATGAGCAGGATGTCAGACTGTAGTCAGTTTTAGGGGAGAAGTTTTTCAGGTTCTGTATGCCTTTTGTTTGTTTGTTTTGGCAGTACTGGGGTTTGAACTCACTGTTTAGGCAAGCACTCTATTGCTGGGACCCCCCCCCACCAAGCTTTGTTTGTTTGCGTTTTTTGAAACAGATTTTTTTCTGTGTAGCATAGGCTGGCCTACCACTCTTACCTCAGCCTTCCAAATGCTGAGATTACAGGTGTGTGCCACCCTGCCTGGCTCTGTGCATATTTACAAGCTGCAGAATCTTTTAAAAACCACAGTTTCAAACCTGGTGGCACATGACTGTAATCCTAGCTGCTCAAGAGGCTAAGATCTGAGGATCATGGTTCAAAGCCAACCCCAGCAGAAAAGTCCTCATGAGACTCTGATCTCCAATTGACCACTCAAAAACTGGAAGTGATGCTGTGGCTCAAGTGGTAGAGCGCTAGCCTTGAGCACAAACAGGCTCAGGGACAGTGCTCAGGCGCTGAGTTCAACACCTACAAACTGACAAAAAAGAAAAAGAAAAAACTAAATTGCAGAGCTGCTCTGATTAAAGTGGAGGGCATGTCAGTATTCACTCATTGGGGACCCCTGAAGCATCTGCACACTTAGAACACTAGGGGGCCTAGTTGCTCCTCCCATAGCCAACGGGCCGGTCAGACTGCGGCTGGGTAGAGAGAACACCCCTCCCAGTAGGAAGGCCTGGGAGGCCTGGGTGTGGCCCTGGGACCATGCTGACACCTTTGCTGTCACTCCAGGATGGTGGAGCACTGCCTGCACATGACTGACCGCATGGTCATCTACTTCTTCATTGCTGCCTCCTATGCGCCCTGGTGAGTGCCCAGCCCCACCATGGGGCCTGGCTTCTCTGCTCTTCTCTTTGCATTTATGCTTGTAATTTGGCTGGGTCAAATGGTATTAGGAAATGAAACCTGTATACTAGGCAAGCACTCTACCCTTGGTCTAGCCATACCCTTGGTCCTGTACACATATTTCACATGTATAAGGTAAGCATTTGGCAGGAGGTGGTGGTGTACACCTGTAATCTCAGCACTTGGGAGGCTGAGGTAGGAGGTTCAAAGGTTTGAGGCCAGCCTTGGCAACACAGGGAGACTTTATCACAAAGGAAAGCACAAAGCAAAAAGAAAGAAAGAACGAAAGAAAGAAAGAAAGAAAAAAAGAAAGGAAGGAAACTGCCAATAATAATAACAACAACAACGAAAGTATAGGTACAGTTCTACTATCCACCACCTTTTTTTTTGTTGCTAGCACTGGGGCTTGAACTGAGAGCCTGGGAGCTGAATGTGGGCTGATGTATGGGGGAGGGTGTTTCAGAGATGATTGACATGTGGGACAGCATCTGAGAGGGAAGACCCACCCGGAAGGGATGCGGCATCGTCCCATAGGCCGGGCCCTAAGTGGAGCTCACTTATTCCCCAGTGTTGTGCTGCCCTCGCCAGCGGGGGCTCCGCAGCCACTGTCCAGGGAACTTTCAGGCCCCTGCCCTTCAGAGTGGAGCTGTATTGTTGGTCCCCTCGTTCTGAGGCTCCTGTGTCATGAAGGGTCGAGGTCATGAATGACAGATGCAGGTCCTGCTTGTGCCTGCTGTCTCCCAATTTTGTTCCAGCTTTTCTTCCAACTGCTGGCTCTGTGGAGCTCTCCTGACTTCAGGCCCATTAGTAAGGAAATGAATGTAATTAAACAAGAGCACAAACAGGAGATAAGAAAATAGCTGACGGAAATGAAAGTGATGACTACAAATCTCAAGAAACAAAGTAAAGAATAAAAGCCACATTGTGATAGACTACATTAATAAATTCAGTTCAGCAGAGAAGTAGAAAGCCACTGCAAAGTAAATTCAGACAACAGAGGAAAGGCGAGAGATTATCAGAGAGTGCAAACATAGTTTTTAAAAGCCCCTGATTAATTAAAGTAATCAGAGAGAAGTGAATAGAAATGGAAGAGCTGAATTCTTCAGGCTTTTGAGCCTGACCAAAAATAATAATAGTCATTTACAAAGGAGAAGAAATCAGGCTGGTGCCTGAATGTAATCACAGCACCATTAATTTGGAAACACAATGAAGATATGTGTGTGGTTTTCTAGTTTTTCCTAAACCACCAGAGTTGTCATTCAGACATAGACAATAGACAACCATTCTCATACATGAAAGGAGTCAGAAGTCAATACTCAGAAGTTTTTTGAAAAAAGAAAATCCACGTACTTTGGCAACAAAATCTAGTTACTTAAGAGAATGGCTCCTCCTAAACCAGACCAGGAATTGCAGAACATATTGACTCCATTAAAAAAGGAAAAGAAACAGGTGTCAATGCTCACACCTGTAATCCTATTGTCCGTCCCACGAAAGACGGATGGGATCTGAGGAAAGGTAAGTGCGGCCGCTTGCCCGTTCACCAGCCTCTCTTAGTCCAGGAGACAATCAGATGCAGCGTGGAGTCAAGTCAAGCAGGAAAACTCGTTTATTAACACAGAGCAAGCCCTTTTTAAAGCAGAACAGACCGGGTGGCATGGGAGGGGAGGAAAAGGAACCAATCACTGTAAAGGTCACATCCTATCATGCATCTAAGCTTCCACGGGCTGGTTACCCTAAAGCAAATCAGGCTCTGCCCACTCAACTCCCTCTTAGTGCCATCTTTGCTGTCCATGTGCTCTACAATCCTAGGTACTCAGGTGGCTGAGATCTGAGAATCGTGCTTCAAAGCCAGCCTGGACAGGAAAGTCTGTGAGACTCTGAAGTCTCACCAGAAACCTGGAAGTGAAGCTGTGGCTGAAGTGGTAGAGTACTAACAATGAGCAAAAAAGAGCTAAGGATAGGGCCCAAGCCCTGAGTTCAAACTCTACAACCTACAAAAAGAAAAGGAAAAGGAAAAAAAAAACCTGGCTATAGAGGTAGCTCAGTGGTAGAACACTTGCTTAGCATATATGAAGCCCTGAGTTTGGTCCCTAGCAACACACATACACACACACACACACACACACACACACACACACACACAAACTTGGATGAACACAGTGACTCACATCTGTAATACCATCTACTCAGGATGCAGAGGTAGGAAGATCTCAGTTTAAGGCCAGCTACTAGCAAAAGTATGAAGCCCTATTTGAAAAGCAATTGAAACAAAAGGGTTGGAGATCCTGCTTAGCAGTAGAGCCACCTGCCTAGCAAGCATAAGGTTTGAGTTCAAACCTCAGTACCACAAAAAGACCAATATTTAATAGTTGCACGAATTATTATGATAGAAAGGCATGTAAGTATATAAGAAAGCATGTAAGGATGTAAGAATGTAAGTAAGTATTCTGTGTAGTGCAGGGCCTCACACATGTTAGGCAAGTATTCCACCACTAAGCTACCCCTGCTGCCCTCAGGACATGTTGTTATAGACCTGTAAGGAAAATAAGGAGAGCAGTGGAGAATACTAATATTTTCGTTTCTATCAGTGTCAGTATTACAACAGTGGAAACATATAACTTAAAAACAGGATTTCCTCCTGCATCTTTTCAGGATTTGCCCTCTTAATTTTGACTCTAGTCAAAGCCAATTTTGTGGTGGAGAAACACTTGTTTAGCTGGGCACTCATGGCTCACGTCTGTAATCCTAGCTACTCAGAAGGCTGAGATCTGAGCATTTGGTTCAAAGCCAGCCCTGGCAGGAAAGTCTGTGAGACTGTTATCTCCAATTAACCACCAGAAAACCAGAAGTGCCACTGTGGCTCAATTGGTAGAGCGCTTGTCTTGAGCTGAAGAGCTGAGGGACAGCGCCTAAGCCCAGAGTTCAAGCTCCACGGCCAACAAAAAATGACAACAAAATACTTGTTTAAAGTTCAGAAAAAGATTTTTTTGTTTTATTTTCTTCGGTTTAAAGTCAAGTGAACTGCAACATTTACAATATACAAAGAAACCCCTACAAAACAAAACAAAAACAAAGTAAAAACAAAGTAAAAGGAAACCATGAGCAGGTGCCAGCAGCTCATACCTGTAATTTTAGCTACTCAAGATGCTGAGATTTAGTGGATTGAGGTTGAAAGCTATAGCTTAGGCAGAACAGTCCTCAGGACTCCCATCTCCATAATAAACCAGGGAAAAGCTGGGCTAGAGGCATGGTTCAAGTGATAGAGTACTAGCGGGGAGCAAACAAAGCAAGTGCAAAAAATGACATACAAGGACTGAGGATATAGCTCAGTGGGAGAGTGCTTACCATGTATGAGGCCCTCGAGTCTATCACATGAAAAGAATGACATGTGTAACTTGATTCTCTTCCTTTCTCCTTCCCTTGCGCCATACTGCCAGACCATATTTTTATGGCTGGTTAGTTTTGCGTCTGGGCCTCTCATTTTCCTGCCTGGGTACCTGCCTGGACTGTGATCCTCCTAT